GGGGGGGGGGGGGGGGGAGTTTCTCTCGAAGAGTTTACTTCCTAGGAGGAAGGCAATCCCGGGAGAGATACGGTCGCGACACGGTCGGTTTCTTTTTTCTGTGCGCGTAAATCACCGTGGCGTTGTGAGCACCGCTTAATCCGCCGCGAATTCCGCGCTGCAAAGGTAGGTATCCCGGTGGAAAGAACTCGCCGCGGAGCCTGTGCATCCTCCTGCAGGCCCGAGCCTAATTCGTTTCGGGGCTCTGCAGGTCGTGCTCAATCGCCTCACCTGCCGTCGCTAATACGACAGGAATCTCGGAAACGACGCATCTGTCATCCCTCTCAGGCTGCGCCGCGCGCGTTCTCCTCCGCTTTTTCGTCAAGCTCACCGAGGCCTTGTGGAAAAATGCCTCGCGGGAGACACATCGGTCGAGAGCGGAAAGTCGCTCTCTCATAATCTTCGACTGTAATCTGCGAAGCAATCGCTCAACGAACGTATCTCGGGCGGATATAATATTGATCGTCTCGAAAAGAGAAGAGCGCCGGTGACCGAAACTTCGCAAGATTTTATTTTACACTGAAAATGAAGCGCGAGAGCTCGATATATTTTTAAAAAATTGGACAATCCTTCAATTATCTATTTTTTTAATTATGAATCGTTTTATCGAGTTATTAGTTTTAAAAAACCCGTTTTTCTCAATTTGCCGGAAATGTTCGGAAAGAAATCGAAAAAACGCGAAAAAATTGAAAAACCCGAGTTCTTCCGAGCCTTTTAAACGATATAATTGGCAGTAATTTATTAAAGTATCTTTTTTTAATTGTAAAATAAAATTAAACGCGAGGAAACATACCAGTAAATTTATGATAATAATAATAACCTATTTTCGGGTAAGTGATTTGTTTTCGAATTCTTTCGGATTTTTATAATAACCTGTATTCCACTTCGGTATCTGTTTTCTCGCTGCGAGATGAATCGCGTCATACGGAATTCTCGTGTTTCACCTTGTTAATCAAGGCATGAAGTCGTTTCCGAGATTCCAGTCGTATTAGCGACGGCAGGTGAGGCGATTGAGCACGACCTGCAAATCCGTGCGCGCTCAAACTGGCTTACTTGAAAGATTGACCAAACCGCCGGCTAAACGCCTGGCATCGTCGCGACCTCGTCATTAGCATGCCCGTCTAGTTCCGTAAAGTATATCATTCCATAAAACTCACATGCGGCGCTGAACGATGAAGGACACATTCAGTTTTGCTAAAACTGGACGAATCGAGAGCCAAGCGTAGACGAGATATTCAGAAATGACGACGCGTGTCTGTAAGAAAGTGAAGGAGCCATAAAACAGCACCGGTGCCGAGTTTCTTAAGCCTCTCAAGGATATCAGTGGGCATATGCGTATCAAGTAGCATAAGTGCTGCTTTCGAGACTATTTACGCAACCTTATCGCTGCGCACATGGATTTCCGTTGGCATCAATAAAGAAAAACGAAATTTCACGCCGGCTACGCAGCACACGCGGCAGCTGTGTCACAGATAACGAGCGCACACCTTCTTTCTTCTCTCGCGAATTTTGCCGAACGATCGACTCTTGTTGGAAAAAAAAAAAAGAGAAGTCCTTCTAGCGATGCGAAACATATTATAAATATTACAAATACTCTCTCGCGCACATACATCCTTGAAAAGATATATTTAACTTATTTCCAATCATTTAACACAGACTCGCGCGTCAATGACGATAAATAGATTAAGAAAGTCGCAGAAGGACGCGAGTCAATCGATGTTCCACATCGCTTTCTGCCTCATCGGGGCTGACCTATTATTTTTAACGGGAATGTTTTAGCCAACACAAAACAGCAAAAACCAATAATGCGATAAAGTAAACCATCGCATTTATTAACGAACGTGACGACCCGACGGAAATTTCCTCCTTTCGTTCAATAGATGAGAGCATCGAGCCAATTAAAAAGTTCGATTCGATTTTCGGCTTTTTTCTACAGCACCTATCATCCTGTCTCGACTAATTAATAAAAACCGGTCTTTCTCCACGATACAAATACACGAGTATATTGCCGGAATTAATCGAAGATCATGGAGAATATGACGGATATATTAATTAACATATAATTTGTTTAAATATATTTCATCGTACTTTCATTCACATATAATTTACCGCACTTATTCAATTTATTATTTATTTTCTAATTTTATTTATTACTATTTATGTGTCATTTTCGTTGAATGCAATAAAGTTAAATTTGACCCGAGGGTCAAATTTGGCCGAACTTAGTCGTAGTATCATATAATATTCACGTACCTCGTTCATATTTTTGCAAGGAGAAGGCACTTTGACAGAGAGTTCCCTCAGGAGGTCCTCGATGCTCCTGGCGACAGCTGTCGTACCTCCGCACTCCCCGAGATCGTCGCGCGCGCCACGTGCGGGACTAGAGGAGACGCTGTCCTCGTCGCTCCTCTCCTTCGTCCGCTGCTCGTGCTTCGAGAGCAGCTCGCGCTGCTTCTGGAAGAACTCCGGCTCGCTGAAACACTTCTCGAGGCTGGCGGCGCGCTGGAGGGTCGTCGGCGAGCTCGGGGTCGAGCGCGAGAACTCCAACTCGTCCCGCAGCAGGTTCTCTGTGCTCTTGTTGCATATTCGCGGGGGATCCTGATCGCGGAATGTCCTCCGCTGGCCCTTCGACACCTCGCACATCGTGCTAACGCGAATCACCGAGATGGCAGGTTCCTCGTCGACGACTAGCTTCGCGAAGCGCGTTCAGTCTCATGGTGCGAACATTCTACGGACGAACCTACGAAAACCACCTCAATCATGTAACCATGTATGCAATGATGAAGACTACGACTTTGGATCGCACGAGAGAATATATTTTGATGTGTGACATTATATAATATTAATAAAATTATATATAATTTATGTAATCAATTGTATAATTAAGTATAAAATTATATAAGTAATACAAAAATATGATAAAAAGAAAGTTTGTAAAATAATAATATTCGTTGATAAACAGACACGAACTTGTCTAAAATTTAGATTAATTCGAGAAGAGTTGGTTTGTGTAACGAATTACACGGGGGATCAGCGCGCGAGTTCCATAGTAAAACGCGAACGTAAAACATTATTATTCTTTCCGATAATGAGTATTAGATTAATCACCAAGTGGTAACCTCTTATACCTGTATATATCGGACTTACGTCGATTTGTCTCTCATACTAGAAAGCAAGTAAGTCTTTAGAATGCACAAGTTTCGGTGATTTCTCGCATTCGAACGTACTATGAATCACGCGAAGAACGCGGTGTGGCGAACGCTACTTCCACGATTGCTAATTACCGAAAAATACATAATTTCCGTCGGCTGATGAATAACACATCGAAGTCATCGCAATCGTCCGTACTTGGGACGATTGCCGCACCGAACAGACCGAGGCAACGTGCAACGTGCGACCACAGCTTGAACACGTGAAGGAGACCCAAGTGCTAAGTTATATGCGAATTTCGACAGGCCGTTCCACAATCACGAGAGATTCGGTTTCGCACGTTGCGAAACAGCCGTGTCGACAGTCGGATATTGCTGTTCGCGGCACCGAATCGCGCGGACATACCGAGTCGGTTTAACGTGAAATTAGCGCCGCGATACGAATCGCTCAACGGCGCGTCACTTCAAGGTTAGGAAGCGCGAATATCGCAGCGGCGTTCTATGCACGCTGAGAAATCGTTCGAGAGATATCGAACGTGCCGCGCATACCTGCTCAGGTATACCCGCTGGGGGATGTCTTTTCGATCCTCTCGCGAAGGAAGGAAGGCCGCTCGCCGGGCGACGCGCACCCAGCCACCACCACCGAGACTGTCTCTCCCGCGAGAGACGCGCGCCCGGCCACCCCGTGCGTCATACGGAAGGACATCTGTTGCCCCTTGCTACCCGCGCAAGACCAACCCCCCCCGACGCTTTCCCTCTCTTTTCCGCACGCGGATCGTTACGCTCGCATCACGCACGCGTCATGTACAGGGTGACGAAAAAAAATAGCCCGATACGTCTCGAAAGAGAGAGAGGGGGGGGGGGATTCTTATCAGCGAGGAGAGGCGCCATATGTCCTCTGGGCAGCGATCTCGGAAATCGGGCCTTGCAGGCGTCATGGGTACTTTCCATTCGGCGACATCGATCATCGACATCACAAGTTATCATCCTGTCTCTTCTGATCTGTTCCTTTTCGATAAACCGCTTCAAGAAACTTGCATGCATACTGAAAGCGTGCGAGGCGCACGCACGAGATTCTTACGCTTCGGTGTGTGTAGATTTCTCGAACCGATGCAACCAGCCCAATCGGAAGAGAACAGACCGTGCTTGCTCGTTGAATACGGGACAAAGACAAAATGATGTCTGTGTCAATTCGTGTCACTCAAGCCTAATCTACAATGTGCCTCTTTGTTTCTTGCTTCTATCTCGATCTCTTTTTCCATAAGTAAATAGAAGTTCTTACGGAAGATAGAGAGCAAGAAACAAGACGCAAAGAGTCTACATTGTAGACCAAGCTTAAGCCACCGGTGCGGCGCATCCGCGTTTGGAAAATTCGCCCGAGCGGAACGAATCGGTAAAAGATTTCTCAAAGACGCCCGAAAAACATTTTATTTTCTTTTATTTTTTTTCTCAGAATATTTCAGACGTCTCCTTCAGAGGTCTCTTAGAAATTTGTTCCGCTTTCGGACGGTTTCCGGCGAAATAGTCGTCTATGCGCGCGTCGAGTACACAGAATATGTTGCATAGTACAGGGGGAGGGAAGGGGGGTTCAGAATGATACGAGTTGCGAGTTCAGAGATCGCTCCGATCTTCTACGGTCTGAAAGGAAGAAAGAGAGGGGAACTCGCTCAGCGGGGCTCGTCGTGAGTTATGAGACGGAAGGACGAAGAGGCGGGACGACGTCGCGACGCCCGTTGAAACGCTCATGCGTCGTCAATCGATCCGCGACTTTCGCCGAGGGAAGAATCTTTCGACGCGCCTCGCGCAATTCTATTAGTCATCCCGAATTCATCTTTCCCATTTTCGTTTCCTCGACGTTACGAAGTAACCCCCAATCCGAGACACACATGCACACACACACATATATATATATATATATATATACTTCGTGAGAAGTTACAGCGCGATAACGGATTAACATTGGCTTGGATCGTCGTTAATTTTCAAGCTTATCCACTTACCAATCTCAAGATCTCGTTATTATTCTTAACTTCAACGGCTTCTCACGGAATGCCTCGTGGAGGATACATTTGGAGGAAGGAAAGAAAAGTAATCAGACGCGCGATCGCACGATCAATGAGACATTTTTCCCGATTGATACTTCACTCACCTTCGTTATTGCTCGAAATGGAGGGAAGCATCGTCGAATCTAGTCGAATCGAACGCCCAGCGCCATCTGGCGACGTGACTGTGAGGCCGGTGGTGGAATTGCTTGAACGCGTCCGGCCTCGTGGATCGCGATAACACCGGTCGAGGCTGTACGTTCACTGCCACCGACCTTTTCTTTTACTGTACCGGGACCCGTGGTAAACTTCGATAAATATGATGCAAGCCAGCCTTTGGAATTTAGTGACCACCAACGTCAGAGTAAGTCGGAGGAAAAGTCGATCGATGCGAAACGACGAGATCGCCGCGATGATCTCCGTGTTGGCGCGTGCGAGCGATCCATCGTTCGGTTGATCTCTTTCGTAACGTCTAGGACATCTCCTTTCAGCTTGTGTATTTTTCCTCGTAAACAGACAGATAATCGCTATCGTAGTTACTGTCGTAATTTCGATCGCCAGAATTATCCTTCGTACCCCGAGAGTCCGTCGGGAAACCCTTGGCTCTGTGTCGTGGCGAAAAATAACTTCGCAAATTGGTTATGTCATTGCTCTGTGTGTATGTGTGTGTGTGTGTGTGTTAGTTAGTTAACATGATACCTTCGGACCCGCGAGATTGGATCCGTCGCGTTCCTCGAACGCGATCGTTGCCGCACCAGAGATTCTCAGGACGCATTTGTTTCCTTTCCTCCCCAGCCAACATGCATAAAGCGTATTCTCCCGGGTATGACAGCTACCCAGCAGCGCAGGTATGCCAGCACACTGGACGCAGATCTAGTGGTGATCGGATCCGGTCCTGGTGGTTACGTAGCTGCGATCAAAGGAGCACAGTTGGGGATGAAGACGGTCTGCGTGGAGAAGAACCCGACCCTGGGCGGCACATGTCTCAACGTCGGATGCATTCCGTCCAAGTCGCTTCTAAATAACTCACACTACTATCACATGGCACACAGCGGTGACCTGGCAAACCGTGGCGTTGTCGGTGAGCAATTAAGCCGAAAATAGGTTGTCCGTGCGAAGGAACCCAGTAATTAAACATCCGTGATTCTCTTTGCAGTATCAAACGTTCAGCTCAACCTCAGCAAGTTGATGGAGCAGAAGACGAACGTAGTGAAAGCTCTGACCGGTGGTATAGCGGGTCTCTTCAAGAAGAACAAGGTCGAGTGGATCAAGGGTCATGGGAAAATCACCGGTAAGAATCAGGTGGCTGCGCTGAAGTCTGACGGATCGGTGGAAACTACCATCAACACCAAGAACATTCTGATCGCGACCGGCAGCGAGGTCACACCTTTCCCTGGCATCGAGATCGACGAGAATCAAGTTGTATCCTCGACAGGTGCCCTCTCACTGAGCAAAGTCCCTGGGAGGCTCATTGTCATCGGAGCTGGTGTCATCGGCTTGGAGTTGGGCTCAGTCTGGCAGAGGTTTGCCTCTCATTACTCGAGATCACCGTGTCCAATCTGTGGCAGATCGTTGACCTAATAACTTTCACTTCTCGTTCAGGTTGGGCTCCGACGTAACGGCAGTAGAGTTTCTGCCGACGATCGGCGGTATGGGCATCGACGGGGAGGTTAGCAAAACCATGCAGAAAATCCTTGCCAAACAGGGCCTGAAGTTCAAGCTGGGTACGAAGGTCACGAGCGCTTCCAGACGGGGCAACGAGATCGTGGTGTCCGTCGAGGACGCGAAGGACCCCAGCAAGAAGGAGGACATAGTGTGCGACGTGTTGCTGGTGTGCGTCGGCAGGAGGCCATACACGAACAACCTGGGTCTGGAGGACATGGGCATCGAGAGGGACGAGAAAGGCAGGATACCGGTCAACAATCGATTCCAGACTGTAGTGCCCAGGTGCTGAGTTTATCTTCTCTTCGTCATCATCTGTTTGACCGTCTTTCGTTAATCGACTTCTGTTCTTTCTGATTTGGCATTTGTGGCTCGATAAGGAAGTACCGAGTGACCGTTTTCGCCATTGTTGTTAAATTTGCAGCATTTTTGCCATCGGGGATTGCATTCATGGTCCGATGTTGGCTCACAAGGCCGAGGATGAGGGTATCATTACAGTGGAGGGTATTGCTGGAGGTAACTTCCGTTCACTTCCTGATTAACGTTAACATTCGGTCGTGTGAATATTTCCTTCGTTCTCTCCTTCCTATTCTCTTTCTCTCTCTCTTTCTACTTTTTTCGCATACTTCTGTCTGCTTTCTCTTCGTTTCGACCAATTAAACCACGGTTATCACCTCGACTGGTGCTGCAGGCGCGGTTCACATAGACTACAACTGCGTGCCGAGCGTGATATACACGCACCCTGAGGTGGGTTGGGTCGGCAAGACGGAGGAAGATCTGAAGAAGGAGGGCATCGACTTCAAAATCGGCAAATTCCCGTTCATGGCGAATTCCCGGGCGAAAACGAACCTGGAGACGGACGGTTTCGCCAAAGTGCTCGCCGACAGCAACACGGACAAGATTTTGGGCGTTCACCTAATCGGGCCGACCGCGGGCGAGCTTATCAACGAGGCGGTTCTCGCGATGGAGTATGGCGCCAGCGCGGAAGACGTTGCGCGTGCATGCCACGCACATCCGGTACGTACTTCGACGTCAATTGTTCACGTGTAGGATAATACCAGTAAGACAATCAACATGCATGTGTACGTCGACGTATGTATGATTAACTGCCTCGTATTGTGATAACCATACGTTTCTGTATGATTGATCGTATCGATTATGATATGATTACATACAACACACGTGTGATTTCACAACTATAAATTTGTACGATACAAGAGGTCGTCCGCGCTGTCAAGTCAATCGACTAATCAGAATACGTATTGTAGGAATGATCAGAATAAGAATTGAAACGAAGAAACAAGAGCAAATTTTATGTTACGTATAATTCTGTAATCACTTTACAATTTGACACTTCACCATATGGCATTCTTTCTTCCTCAGACATGCGCCGAGGCACTACGGGAGGCACACTTGGCAGCCTACATTGGAAAACCCATCAATTTTTAAGTTCCCGCGCGGGATAAGCAAATCGTTACACCCATCAGTCCGTATTCTATCGCGCATTTAGTACTTAAAAATGCGACCGCTGCCGAATACGTGGAGAGTTCACATTCTGTACGCGCTCTACGCGCTAAATGCACGACGAAAACGCGGTCCGTTTGACGCTCGTCGTAGCCTCGATCTAGTCTACGTATCAAACGTCACGCATACCGCACAAACTTGACATTCGCTGCGCATCCTCGCTCTTGATCGCAGGAAAACAAAATCTTATTTACAGTTGTAAATAAAAATTATCTACTACTATCCGAAACTGGCTTTGTATTAAATTTATCTCTATCGGGTGAAACTGTCGCATTTATTGAAAATAAAAGGAAAGTTCTGTGTTGGTACCAATTCCTAAAATTTCAATTCACAACTCGTTTAGATTTTCATGATTTCTCGACAAAAATAATTATCCTTAATTTTATATATGTAAATGTTTCTTCTTGCACTTTTACGTGTGCTTTTCTAAAAGTGACTTAGAAGCCACCTTTTGTTTGAAAAGCCGCATTTGAGATACTTTCATCAATGAATCGGGATGTGGATCTTTGTCAAATGTTTAACATTTTTAATTCGTAGATAGGGTGTTTCGCATCCACTTCTTCAGATGGCGCATCGTGAGAAGCGACACAAAAAATTCTCGCGGCGATTTTCAAATTCCCCTTTGCGCACAGAACTCTCAAGTTAAAAATATTCGTTTTTTACGAACTCGCACTGTTTGTCCCATTGTTGAATCTACTCAATTGAGTTGACCAATCAGGACGAAAAAGCAAAGATCTTTTTATCATGATTGGTTAATCAAATGCTGCTCTATGTAGGGTTTTGGAACTCATTATTGGGTATGGGACGCGTTACAAAACTCATCGAGGGAAGTAGTCGTCTTTAATCATCTGGCTGTGTTACTGGCTACTTATAATAAGGAGAAAAAGAGTTGCTCGTTCATTAAATCGGCACGTGGAACGTGAAAGATAGTTGTTTTGTCAATGAAACGAGTTTTAAAAATAAATTGAATAAATATCTGCATAAGTTATATAGATTCATTATAACCTTAAAGTTTCATGGAACGTAAGTATAAGGATAATATATTTCCATACATATTTCTCTTTGTAACCTCGTTGTACATCATATTTGTAATCTGTTTATTTATACACGTATAGATCGTAAAAATGGTGAGACACAATAATCAATTACCAGATAACCTTCCACAACTGCAAAATCTTATTAAACGTGATCCAGAGTCTTATAAAGAAGAGGTAGGCTTAATCATATGTCTTTTGTGTTATAATATTTTATCTGTGCTTTATTACATTATCCTTATATATTTATTATTAAAAAAATATCTAAAAATTTAACATGTCCACAGTTTCTTCAACAGCATCAGCATTACAAATCTACTTTAGAAGTTTTCCATCTGGAACCGACACAATATAACAAAAATCTTGATGAATTGGTAACCTTCTTAGCACAGGTCAGCATATTTGAATTATAAAAGTAATCGTCTAAGTGTGCATATTGTACCAATTACGATAGTAACTTGTTGAATTTCTTACTTAAATAATATAACATATAGGTGACAAAGTAAAAACTAGCTGCGTCCTGGTATAATTTTTAGAATAATTTGAGACTGTAATAATGGAGGAATACTTTGAAAAGATAAACAACAGTATTATATGTCGTAACAACATCATAGCGCGATTGTATTCTTTAATCAGTACAGCGGATGAACCAATGCCACAGAGCATCTTTCTATATGGTCACATGGCTACTGGAAAGTCATTAATTCTAGAAAGTTTACTTAATTACTTAAAGTATAATGTCAGCTATGTCAATTGTATGGAGCGTTTAAGTGGTAAACACATGTACAATTATATATTGAGCGATTTGACTGTGTCCACAGAAGAATCAAGTAACAATACACTGTCAAAGCACAACTGCGACAATATAGTAGACTTTATATATGCGCTCAAAAGAATTTCGCGCGACGACAAACGTCCAATCGTACTGGTGTTCGATAAATTCCACAAGATGAGAGACTTGGATGTAACTTTTATGCCAGCGATCTCAAGGCTCAGGGAATTGTCTGGTATTGATTTATGTACGATCTTTATAAGTGAAATCTCATGGACGAAATTTCGCACAAAGGTCGGTATGTTGGAGCCTGTAAAGATCTACTTTCCGCAATACACGAAGGAAGAGCTGATCCAACTGTTGCTATTGGACAAGCCACCGAAGCACGACGCGCAATTTTACAAAAATTATCTGAATCTCTTTCTCTCTGTATATTTTCGATTTTGTAGAGATTTGAATGAGCTGCGACATATGGCCAAGATAAATTTTGCCAAGTATGTAGAACCCGTGGAAAGTGAGCGAATCGATCCGGACAATATTGCTGCACTATGGCGAAATATCTCGGCTACTTTAAGATCTAACTTGGACGTCATCTACCTTCGAGTTTCCACGGATGATCTCTCACAGTCGAATCATCGGTTGTCTCGAGAGATTGAGTCGACGACGAAGTTAGCCTTGAGTTTTGAACTACCATTTTACACCAAGTATATGCTAATCGCAGCGTATTTAGCTTCGCACAATCCACCGAAGTACGATCAACGTATTTTCATGAAGCAGAGTAATAAGAAGAAGAGGAAAATACGATCGATGAAGAATACAGTAGAGATAGATTCGCTAAAGAAACTTCGGATCTTTAGCATCACGAGGATGCTCGCTATTTTTTGCGCCATTCTCGATGAAAAAGTAGACATCAATGCTAATCTACTCGCTCAGATATCTACCATGTGTCAACTTGGCTTGTTAATCGTCACCGGGGATAACGTTTTTAATTTGGATGAGCCGAAATATAAATGCTGCGCAAATCGCGATTTTGTCACAGTTGTAGCTAAGACAGTTGGCTTTGATATAAAGAAGTATTTAATCATGGATATGAATTGAACACACATATAGATCTCATATCCTTACATCTTTTCTCAATTATAATTCTGTTTAATTATAGTTATACTTATTTTAAACAATTTTGTGTAATGTGTTTTTTTATTTGATATGAACAGATTTCTTATGTAGCAGAACTTGCACACTTTTATATATTTATAAAAAACATACTTTTGTATTTTCATATATTTATAAGATTCGTGTATGCATTTTGTTTGACATATATTATTGATATAATTTGGAATGTAAACATGTTTATAACGTTTATTTATTTAAGAACATTTATAATTTTGTAAACTGACGGGGAAAACCCGATTCTCTTCTAATTAAAAGTTTTGCAAACACTGTATACATTGTATTCATTAACATCTCTCCTCACTTGTCAATATAATTAAACAATAATATAATTATTGTGTATGCAAGTGTTGTATAACAATTTAAATTAATTCTCCACATAGTCATTATTTTTGCAACATTAAAGATTTGTTTAATAAGACATATGCTAAACACATTTATCTGTTTTTTTGCATATTACAGGTAGCCCATTGTTATACAGAGGATCTAAGAACATATCCTCAAGAAATTGTTGATATATTACAAACTCATAATACCATATTAGACAATGAAATGCGAATGGTAAGCTTATACAAATCAAAAAATCATTATGCGAATAACAATATGCTTGTGTATGCATATAACTTCTATTACTATATCTCCTAATTTTTTACAGACATTTTGTAAAGTATTGATCCAGCTACGCAACAAATCCCTCTTAGAACCTACTGCGCTTCTCAGTTTATTTTTTGAGCTTCTAAAATGCCAAGATAAGGCTCTGAGACAATTCCTCCAGACGCATATAATCACGGATGTTAAGAATATCAATGCAAAGCGCAAAAATGCCAAAGTCAATACGGTCTTGCAAAATTTTATGTTCTCCATGTTAAAAGATCCTAATGCGAGAGCCGTTAAGATGTCCATAGACATTATGATAGAATTGTATAACAAAAATGTATGGAACGACGCCAAGACTGTTAATGTTATAGCGACGGGTTGCTTTTCTAAGATAACAAAAGTAGCGGTCGCCGGTATGAAATTTTTCTTGGGAACCGATCCGGAGGACAAGGAAAGTGACGACAGCGACTCGGATAACGAGCCAAATATGCAGGAAATTATGATGGCCAACAAAGTTAATAAAAGGACGAAGAAACGTGAGAAGCAGTTGAAGAAAGCTAAACAGTTATTCGTGGTAAGTCGACAGTTTTCTGTGGTCCTTCGTAATATGTCGGAATTATGACACTGCGATCTCTTTAGCTTTAACGTGTATTTCAGAAAGCAAAGAAGAAGAAATCTAGAGCACCGCAGTACAATTTTTCAGCGTTACATTTAATTCACGATCCTCAGGATTTCGCTGAAAAATTGTTCAAGCAGATACAGAAGAACAATGACAGATTTGAAGTAAAGCTAATGACTCTAGACGTTATCTCCAGACTTGTTGGTTTGCATAATTTATTTCTCTTCAACTTTTATCCATACATACAGAGGTTTCTTCAACCACATCAACGAGGTGAGATCATCGCGTCATGTGAAATTCTTTCCGTGTAATTTCACCCTATATTATTATCTCACGCACATATGTCTTTTTCTCCCCAGAAGTCACCAAGCTTTTACAGTTTGTAGCTCAAGCTTCACATGAATTGCTACCACCAGATGTGCTGGAACCTGTTTTGAAGACCTTGGTCAATAATTTTGTAACAGAGAGAAATTCAGCGGATGTGATGGCTATCGGGTAGCTATTTTAACTATTTTTTAACTGTTAAAACAGCATTGTGTGTCTGCGTCGCTATAGACGTGTAACTTTGTTCCGTTTAGTTTGAATACTGTGCGCGAGATATGTACACGATGTCCACTGGCCATGAACAGAGACCTGCTTGAAGACTTAACACGATACAAGCAATACAGAGAACGTTCCGTGATGATGGCTGCCCGTTCTCTAATTGGCACGTTCAGACGCATTATGCCCGACTTGTTGCACAAAAAAGACAGAGGCCGTCCTACGGAAGCTAATGTTGTGATAGAAGCACCCAAATACGGCGAAGTTCGAGCGAGTGAGTTCGTACCAGGAGCGGAAGTTTTATTCGGCAAGCATACTGAGAATACCGAAGAAACCGATAACAGTGATAGCGAAGTAAGCAAAACGTCAAATTATTTTATCAATGAACTACTTCTTATTATTTCATTATGTCAAAGTTTACTTATGTTTTGTACGTACAGGATGATGATGAATGGATCGATGTGAATCATAGCAGCGATGAAGAGGTCGACAATGGCGAGGAGTCGACGGTCGATGCAAATCAATCGGTCGAATCTTCTGCTAGCGACGATGACGATGATGATGATGGTGATGGTGATGATAATGAAGAAGAAGAAGGAAAAGGAGAAAGTAACGACGATAATAATTTAGCATTACCCCGTAATGAGAAGAACAACACAAAGAATGATTGTGAAACAAACAGCGAAAAAGGAGAACCAGACGAAACTTTGCGAAAGAAGTGCGTTTTAACGAAGCAGCAAAAGAAGGCGCAAAAACTAGAAAAGAAGGCAAAGCAGAAGGCAGAACAAAACGAAGAGTTGACGGCTGAGAAGAAAACGAAAGCATCTTTGATATCTACCGAACGATTGCTCACAGATGAAGACTTTAGGAAAATCGACGTAGCGTTAGTGAAGCGAGAAGTAACGTACGCTAAACGTGGCGTTAAAAGGACGCACGATCAAATCGAGACAGATAAACAGGGTGGAGAACTGGTCAAACTTAGCGACATAGAAAATATATATAAAAAACACAAACACGACAAAGCAGCCCGATTGGAATCGGTGAAGGTACGTGGGAAATATATATTTTCGTGCGACATATATAAAATATATAACGGGTTTAAATACATTGTTGAATTTGCAGAGGGGGCAGGAAGCGAGAGGAAAGTTCGGTTATAAGGACAGCCGACAAAATCCGCTGTGCAGTAAAACAAATCGTGAGAAGAGGAAAGGGAAAGCGTTTCAGATGCTGAAACACAAGTTCAGGGGGAAGGTCAAACGATCCTTTAAGGATAAACAGATAGCTCTTAAGAATCATCTGTTGAAGCAGAGGAAAATGAGATAATTACATATATACGGTGTATTGTATAATTTATTTTTATGCCCTGCACTTTTCCAAATGTTAATAAAAGTGAGTCACACGTGTACGAATATATTCTCAAGTGTTTCTCCGTTAAAATTGAAAGACGCGCTAAAAAAGCGCTGGGTGTTGGGCGAATTTCTCGCCAATCTTGTTTGACGACGAAAGAGCGCGACCAATAGCGATCGGTGCTGCGTTCGGCCGTAAAAGGAAATAAGAAGCGAGACTGCGCGTTGGTGGCCGCACGATCGTCATTTGCGACAGCACGCGTCTTCTTTCGGCCTTCGACCCGGTCCCTTTTGCCGTTGTTACGGATAACGTGACTCGTAAGGTGTAATTGATCGCTACGTCTCGTCGAATTAACGAATCGTTTTATCGCAATGTCAACGGTAGCGAGTCCTTTAGCCGTTGGAGGCATCCGGCAGTCGGGAGCACCGGTTCGCACACAAAACGGTGAGAAGATGATCCCACCGACTTTGGTTATATCGCATATCTCGAAACTTCGAAATGGATGTTACATTTCAGGCCTCGTGTCGATCTCTTCTTCTTTATTCGAATGTTTCTCAATGTACGACGACTTGTAATCGCGAATCTATTAGGAACGACAAGAGTCTCGACGTTATCTCTTACGTATAAGTGCGAAACCATACATGACGATTATGTTAATTAATATGACGCATGACAAATTTAGTGCAAGGGAAATATTTAATATTATGTATTTATTGGTTCTACAAAGTATTTCTTGTGTCTGTCGTGATTTTGATGTCATGATTAACATCATTTCTGATTTTGTGTCAAACTTTAATGGCAGATAATTCAAAAGTAGCATCGATTTCTCAAATCAACTTGGTATATGCAAGATATCTTGTACATATATGTCTTAATGATATTTTATTTTTTACTTAGAACATAGCAGGAATAATATATCAGGTTAATTGTAAATTTTATATAAATATACACCAAATGAAGCAAGAATTTATTGATGTTCCAGTTATGGCTGCCTGTGCTATCGCTAACATAGTTAAAAGTTCTTTGGGTCCAGTTGGTTTGGATAAGATGCTGGTCGATGACATTGGTGTATGTAAACAATTAGCCTATTTATTCTTTTATAGTACATAAAAATGTAGAAAAATTGTTTGAAACAAGATATTGTATTAATTATTTCCTCCTTAGGATGTTACTGTTACCAATGACGGAGCAACTATCTTACGTTTATTAGAAGTCGAACATCCAGCTGCACGAGTTTTGGTCGAATTAGCACAATTACAAGATGAAGAAGTTGGAGATGGTACCACTTCAGTTGTAAGTGATATATTTGTATATATAACAAAGTCTAAGGTAATAGCTGAGGTAGTCTGTTTAACTCGACTCGTTACTTCACATGTATTAGGTTATAGTAGCAGCTGAGCTCTTGAAAAACGCAGATGAGCTTGTGAAGCAAAAGATTCATCCAACTTCAGTAATTAGCGGTTACAGACTTGCCTGCAAGTAAGTACATAATTACTTACTTTTTTAATCAACATTACTTTCAATATTAAATTATTTTAATTATATATGTTTATAATGTTATATATATATATATATATATATATAATGATATGTTTGCTAAACTACTAATAAATGAAATGTATACTGACAGTGTTTTGGAGAAAAGAGGGACATTTTAACCAATATAATTTACAAGATCCATTTCTTCTTCAGAGAAGCATGCAAATACATTCAAGAACATTTAACTGTTAATGTGGATGAACTCGGACGAGATTGCTTAGTTAATGTTGCAAAGACGTCTATGTCCAGCAAAATTATCGGAGCGTATCCTTTCTAATTATCCTTCAAAAGATCGGAATAATTTTTTTCTCTCCTGGTATATAATAATCGTTGAGAATATTTCCTATGAAATAATTAGTGATGCCAATTTTTTCGGCAATATGGTTGTCGACGCTGCTAATGCGGTGAAAATCAGCGATGGCAAGGGAGGTTCCTTGTATCCCATCAAAGCGGTCAATGTTCTGAAAGCTCATGGAAAGAGCGTCCGGGAGTCGGTTTTGGTCCAAGGATATGCTTTAAATTGCACCGTCGCTTCCCAAGCGATGCCGAAGAGGATAGCGAATGCAAAGATCGCGTGTCTGGACTTCTCATTGCAAAAAGCAAAGATGAAGATGGGCGTTGAAGTGCTTATCACAGACCCTGAGAAACTGGAGGCTGTGCGTCAACGCGAAGCGGATATCACTAAGGAACGCGTCCAAAAGATTCTCGCCGCCGGTGCCAACGTGATTCTCTTATCCGGCGGCATTGATGACTTGTGTTTGAAGGTACAGTCACACACACGTTATATTGTCTGTTATAAGATGCTTTCAAGAAGCGAACGCAATATTGACTTTCACATCTCTTCGCAGTATTTCGTAGAAACTAAGACTATGGCAGTGCGTAGATGCAAAAAGGCCGACCTGAAAAGAATCGCTAAAGCTACGGGTGCGCAATTCCTCACCTCGCTGACTAATATGGAAGGGGAGGAGAGCTTCGACGTCAATTTCTTAGGAGAGGCCGCAGAAGTAGTGCAGGACATGATATGCGACGACGAGCTTATTCTTATCAAAGGGTATGATGTCATAGTACGAGCAACAAGTAAAATTCGACTTAGGCGAATGTTGTTGCTAATTTTCATAATTAATATTGTAAAAATTAACTGGGACTCGCAACGAACTTATCAAATCTCCTTCTTGAATTTGAAGCCCAAAGGCACGCACAGCCAGTTCTATTATTTTACGTGGACCGAACGATTATTACTGCGATGAAATGGAACGTTCCATACACGATGCGTTATGCGTCGTCAAGAGAGTTTTGGAAAGCAAAAGCGTTGTTGCGGGCGGAGGTTGCGTGGAGGCTGCGCTCTCTATATATCTGGAAAACTTTGCGACATCATTGGTACCGGATTCCACACTTTTTCTATTCTCTTTTCCTCTCTCTTTTTCACATGGAGAAAAATGTTTAACATGCTGTTGAATTACAGAGCTCTCGGGAACAACTCGCTATAGCGGAATTTGCGAGATCTTTGTTAATTATACCGAAAACGTTAGCCGTAAACGCTGCACAAGATGCGACCGATCTTGTTGCCAAGCTTCGAGCCTACCACAATTCCAGTATAACGAAATCGGATCTTGCCGATTTGAAATGGTAATATATTTTATATATNTATATATATATATATATTTGTTTTAACCTATATTTTTAACGCAACGAATGAGAAATTGTTCACTGATATTTTCTCGCAGGGTGGGTCTTGATTTGCTGGTAGGAAGTATAAGAGATAACAAGAAAGCTGGCGTATTGGAACCAGCGATTTCGAAAATCAAAGCTTTGAAATTTGCCACCGAGGCAGCCATAACCATTCTTCGAATCGATGACATGATTAAGTTGGATCCCGAGCGTCCGAAAACTAAATCGTATCAAGACGCCATGGAAGCTGGCGAATTGGAAGATTAAAATGCATTTATACTAACATGCGATATGTTTATAAGAGAAAAATGTAAAAGATTTTTGTAAATCTTACACTGCACGAGACATACACACTCTACGTGATAAAATAAAGAAACGCAGGTTATATAATTTAATTAATGATACCAACACTTGCAATTAATTGTTCGTTTGTCGTACACAGTTTAATTCTATGTTCATGTAAAATGTCGCTGCCTAAAAATTGAAAATAAAGCTTTTTCATAGTATAATTATCGTGCACTCCCTATATTTTGACGTATGACACTATAGAGACACTATAGAGACACTATAGAGATAATTTGGATGTTATCAGCAAAAAATATTAATCTTGCGACGATTGCAGTTTCTCTGCTTAAAAACTAGAAGGTTATTAAACTCGTTCCTTGGGTATGTATGAATAGTTTTTTTTATGTTTAAAGCAATTTTGTCGTTAATATAATAACCATGATATTTACAGTACATTAATAATATATATTTGATAGTAATTGTCTACGGTAATTATATGAAAATTTCCAAAAAATGCGCGTCATAAGTTACTTAATAATAAAAATAACACGCTCTAAATCACACGCACGCAATTTTGCGATCTTCGCTTTCAAAAAAATATTCGATGCATATTAGTGATGAGCTAATAAGTGAGCTAATCCTTGTTATACAATACATATTAATTAAAGTTGTAAAATCGAGTGTTTTACAAACAAATCCGGTATAACAAAATAAACATTGTACCGCAAAGTACAATTAGGTTCAACTTATAATGCTTTTTCTAGCGAAGCATACATATAAAGAATAGAAAGCGACGATTACAAAGAGAGAAATGTATTTTAGTAATTTAATAAATTATAATGTAATTCATATAACAGTTCATTAATGGAAAATAATGGAATAACAGTTTTAAGTATTATGCGATATGTATGTTCATAGGGTTCAATATCATTTATAAACAATGTTATATAAATGATATTTATTTGCCGAATAGACACAATGGTTCGTTAAATAGTAATGATGTTATTTACAATGTTTACTACATCATGGCAGTTGACTGATTTTTTTTTCAATTTTATGACGCACTACTAAATCACTTATGCTTATATTTTAACGATTTGTTTTATCTCGCATGTAGTATATCTGTATTTACAATGCAAACTTACGATTTCATTGCAAAATTTTTATGATAAACGGCCAGTCTGCTAAAATATAGTTTTCCTTTTCATTCTTTGTAACATTCTTATACCTCATTAAGGTACGTATACAGATACAATAAATCATTAAATGATTTTCTCTGAAACTATAGTACACACTATTTTCTTCCAGGAAATAGTTAGCACCATAATTAAATTATGTGTAATCTACTTAGTAGATAATAATTTATATTTTTTGCGAGTAAATATATTATTAAAAAACGAAATGTTTTATAATTTTCATAAAATTGTGACTTTCCAATCGTAAGTAAAATATTGTTAACACAAAGCTCATGCTCATACATTTTTGTATCGTAATTAGTTTTGCGCATGTTTACATAACATATATAAAGTAGAATATTTATAATTGTGTAAATATGCGCATATAATCTTTATACGAGTAAAAATAAAAAAAAACATGTTCTGAAAATACCAAAATAATACATAAAATTATTATTCACAAATATTAAAATTGATTCTTCCATTAATAACTGTTTTGTTACAAATAAATGTGTATATAAGTACTAAAAGTAAATTTCTGGGATAGTTCTTGTACCTTATAAATTCATATTCTAGAAATATGTATAACTGCATTAACATTCTATTATTACATATTATCTCAATGAAAATTATTAGTTATATCAAAATTTAGTAAGCTATATCAATAATATACTTGTAGTTTTGGACCTTCTTGTAATATAGATTTAAGAAGTCAGTAATGATAAATACGCATATGCGCGTTGTAAAATATTTTTTAACTATTTACTCATTCTATTTACAAACCCTGTACGGCTTGATGAATGATATAATAAACATGACCGACTTTTGTAGGAACAGAAGTTTAGCAAGGTTAATGTGATTACATCTAAATAAAGCGTCAATGCAGTAAAAAAAAAAAGAAAGGAATGCAATACGATTGATAAATCTTATAGCAATTTTGGTACGTAACATGTATTTGTTTAAGACAGAGGATCCAAAACAAAATATTGAGATTTCGTTTTTAATAGATTTTATATTAATAAGCAAATTCAATATAGTAATCTATGATTTGCTTTGATAGAACAAAAAGGAAAGAAAACGTTAATAATTGCTTATTTTTGATATTTTCTGCATAGATCAAATTTCCTTCTTCCTCGTTTATATTCAAAATTACATAATTGGGATGGAGTACCTTTACAACGCAGGATTTTCGAATTTTGGTCCTTTTGTGACTACAATTTCAGCGTATGAATATTCTTGATTGAGTTCTAGTACTTGAAATTTCTTCAGGACTAACAATGTATAAAATTTCTGTGCAACCTACAAAAATAGAATAAAATAGTATAAAATAGAGAGAATTTCTATCTGTAATATAAAATTCCAGAAAGGTAGCACAAGCATTGAGTATCATTTCTCAAACTACCAACCTGCTTGCGGTTATTTTTAAATGCCATTTCTGATAGCGTTAATTTATCTTTGGTGTCCAGTTTGCTCTTAATAACGTGATACATATGCGCTGCTCTTTTATTAAGAACACGCTCTTCAAACTGTTCATAAGTCTCATCCACTTGCTGCTCCTCTTGCTGAAATACGTGATATTGTAGATTTTTTCTTACAAGTGACTTTTCTTAGAAAATTAGGATATGTAAATATGTATAAATAATAGAGAGAGAGAAAGACAATTTATATAACTAATATATGAAAAATGATGTTTCAAATGACAACTTACAGGTCCCACAGACGGCGGAAACTCATAATCCTCGTGATTCCAGGGTGTAGCGGGTCCTCTCTCGGAAATCGCACCCGGTGTATGTGCTGGAGGATGATGTTCGTCGTAGCCCATGTACGAGACTTGTGGTTGCGCCTGAAAAAATTATCGAGAAAGCGAGATTTGTAGAACAGTTGCTACTGGAAATCCCATGCGGATAAATAACTTAAAAGAATGTCAAAGTGTTCAACCAGAATATCGTAATGTAATGTTATCAATAATTTTATTATCGAGACCGTCGGAGTTTGGCAGCCACTCCGACATTTTAAGGTGATCTTAGAGTCGTTCTATTTTATCAAAAATTTGTTAGCACCGTACTCGTTACCGACTGCATAGAATGAAGAATCCTTTTGCACAATTACAATACACATTTTAATGCAGGCGGATTGACTTTATTCGGAAAACAATTTATAGTTTTATAATTTATTAACTTTTCCTCGTTTTTCATGTCAAGTCAACCTTCGCTTACATTGACATATTGTAATTGTGCGAAAGAATTTTTAATTCTGTGCAGCCGATAATAAACATAATCCTAAGAAATTTGCAACACGACCCCAGGATCCCCTCAAATGTGATACGTGCGTGATGCTTCAACTCACTTGATCGTAACCCATGTTTTCCATTTGAGGCATATCGGATGGCTGTACGGCGGCGGTGGTAGATTCCTCTTGTGCCGGTGTTTGTGGTACTTGTGGTTCTTCGTTTGTTCCGAGTATCGAGTTAACTTCGGCTGGCGCGATCTGTGGTATCTCCGAGGCGAGCAACGATGCTTCGGAAGTCGGCGGTACCACCTCTGATGGTTCCACGGAAGGCACAATGCTACTGATGTCGGGAACTGACGGTTCCGTCGGTAAAGGTACTTCGGGTGGTACAGGCGACTCCGAAGACGGAAGACTTTGTTGCGCGATTATACTCGGTACTTCTACTACCTCGGCGTTCGCTGACAATTGACTGACGTCTACTGGTGGTGGCTGGGGCGGTGGAGGGGGAGGCCTTATCTAAACGAAATAACAATATTAATTGTGCTATAATAACATTTCATAAAAATGTGTTTTGCGAGGTCTGGTCCTATTTTTTTTTTCTTTGAACGCGCTCTGTTTCCAAGATATTTTTTGTAACCAACCTCGTCATCCTGCGGCGCTTTTCGTTTTCGTGCCATGCGTTTATTCAGAATACTTTGTTCAAAATTAGATGCATCTGCTTCTGGAGCATCTCTCATTTGTTCCAAAGATATACCGTCTTCCTCGGCACCGAGTCGTCCGAAGTCTTCGTGATCATAAGACTTGCTGGTTAAATGTCTCTGATAATTCTGTTTTAACAATATCAAATTAGAACATTATATATAGCATCTCTAGAAATGCTTGCAATAATTTTAATTGCTAATCAAACGATTGTAAGATGTCAAGTCGCTTTACTTTAAAGAGAACACGAGCTGGGATCGGCCTTCCCGGCAAAGCAAAGAGCTTCTCCACGCCACCCGTTTCTTTCCAATGCATTAATCTTTTCGTTGGCGGTGCCAAGTCCAACGTCGTGATGATATCAGTAGTGTCTGATAACTGTGCTTTCATTTCCTCGCCAGAAATATTTTTCACTTCGTCGACAATGAGTTTACGCTTACGTTTAGCTTTCGTAAAGCCTAAGAAACAGGCATTTATTTATTAGTTACATGAAATAAACGACCACAACTTTTTATCAATATTAGAGTGTAAAACAGCTTTTACCTTTTAAAGCAGACGCATCGATCGGAGCTAGCGCGAAGCTTTCTTCTTCGTCATGCAACAATGTAGTTTGATCCTGTAAAGGTGGTGGTTCTTCTATATTATCATTAGCGTGTTCTTCTGGAATAGCTGGCGGAGCTGGCGTAAAACGACGACTGGCAACACTTATTCTTCCTTCGATTTCTTCGCCAACCGCAGCTGGTGTAGTCGGTCTCGAACCGTCAGAGCTACGTGGAATATATTCAGCAATTCAATAAAATGCCAAGATTTCACACAGTAACTACGCACAAATGAAGACAATGAATACCTCATGCCTCCCATCGGAGATGGCGGACCACCAAAATGATCGCCCATATCTTCGTCAGATTCATCGTGAACAGAAGCAGCAACACCAGATGCTGCACCTGCTTCCTGTGGCTCTGTTATCGAACTAACTTCAGGTACAGGTACTTCACCCATTGGAGCTTCATCAAATAAACCACCTTCGAAGAGACCACCCGCTGTAATATAAAATTATTGCAAAATTCTTATTTCTCTCTTTCTTTCAAGTTTAGTTGTGAGAACGATGAAAATTTTTTTGTTATCATACATATGATATCTTGGCCAAGATGACCGCCAAAGCCATCGTCTCTGATGGGTGTATCTATGTCCATAGCTTGAGTCGTCGATGATGTCCCTGCCACTGGTTCTTTTTCTTTTTGTTCCATTGCTGTTTCTATTCCTGGCCCGTCGCTAAATAACATGTGACTCTGAAATAAAATTCAAACAATATAGACAAACAACATGGATTCAAATCAAATTGAACAAGGAATAGTAAAAGTCAAATTGTGGTTAGTCGTGCGCAAATTCTATTATAACAGAAAATGTTTATATTTATATTTCATATATAAATACCTGATCTAATGAAGGTTCCATACCACTTCCATGTCTCAGTAATTCCGGTGGTTCTGCATCAAAACTCATGTCACCGAAACCTTGATCGTGTGTAACTAAGGACAGACTGCCATAATCTTCTCTCATTGTTATTTCCTCTGCTCTAGATTGGTTCAAACTAAATTGAGCTTCAATGTCGACATCTCTGAAAAGAAAGATTTAGCAATGCATTATAATGAATACGTGAAGGAACAGAAATATTATAATTTTTTTAATAGATGCTCAACAGTTCTCTTACTTAAGTTCAGGCATAGCAGTGTCAAAATCATGAAATACTTCTGGTAAAGTAATAGCTGTTACAGCTGCCTCTCTATGCTCCTCAGGCAGATCTACCATTCCTGGCCTAAAAGCCATTTTGATTTTTACGAAAGCTTCATTGCAGTCGGCCAACAAATATTTAGCTTTCCTCGAATAAATTCGCACTACTCCCAGCAGTAAGTGACCGGATGTTCTCAGGGCCATTTTAACCTAGTATAATTTTTTTAGAATAAAAACAGTATCCGATAACTCTGTCAAATATGATAGAATGATAGAAATATTTGTCAGATCCTGTAAATTCTTAAGATAAGACTTACCTTTGGCTGTAATATACCATCTACTGACTTTTCTATATTGGTTTCAAATACATGTGCCTTTGTTAATTTCTTGTCCCAATGAGCAGCCAACCATATACGGGCTAAAGGCCCCTTTTTGGCCAACACAAAATGTGCGTAAAACATGGTTCTCGTATTCCTCTAGCTTTGATCTAATAGAAAAAATAGATTATACATTGATCAGTCAATTAACATCAATTCATAAGTCAATTATAAAAAGAAGGAAAATGTAATTGAGAAGGATCAGAAGCATGTTTAGCAAGTTTGTTTTCCTCTGATTGAAACGACAACCATATCCTTGACATAATTATTTTCTTTCGGCAGTACTTTATCGCACTTGGTACGAAGTAATCAACTACCTCATGAAATTTATCATCAGTTCAACTATGTTGCACATATACTGGCGTATTATTTAACACATAAAACGCACAGCACAATCAACAAAGAATACTATCCAATTTGTGAAAATGTCAACATCAACGCACAAGATGGCGTTTCCGTCTATAGTTTTGGCGGTTACAAGATAGCATGAAATTTCTGATACCAGTTCCGTTATGATGCGTAGCGCGAGTCGCCGTGATGATGTTCCGTCGTTAGGCCGTGCAAAGTTGCGGCATATTTTGCATGGAAATAGTTACGAACGTGACAATTTCCTCGATCATCGACGCATACGGTACACTCACTCCCGAACTGTCTCGACGCGTCCCCGAAACTAATCGCGATTGCGCGCGATCACTCGCACTCGAATACCAACATACAACACTGATTCACCGTTAAGTTGCCGTTCCGAAACCCACCTGTGTCGGTTCTGTTACTAAAGTATGACGAATTTGTCGAACGCTGACGATTGGCTGTCAGATAGAAAGTTTCTAGGGTGCCCAGAGAAAATGTTGGGAACTATATAGAAAATTCGGTCACTTGCACTACATCGAATTGATATGTGTTGGACTGCGTCCCAAAACCTTATTCAAGGGCTAGAGTAGCATTTAATTAACTAATCAGGACGAAAAGAGCGAAGATTTCTTTATCATGATTGGTTAATTAATTCTACCCGTCGAATAGGATTTTGGAACGCAATCCTGCAGGCTATTATGTAAAACAATGATTTAAATAAAAAGTAAATGGTCAATCAACAATTGGTCTGTTCTTTGTAGCTGCACTGCTGAACTAGTGCAATAAGTTAGAGTGAGACATATTTTATCATAAAACGAGAATTTAAGCTCTAAGCTTTAAGAAATGGATCCATTATAGTCGTTTATTCTCTTCATACAATTATTATTATTATTATTATTATTACACTTATTCTCTTTCTAAATACTGCGTTCGAAGCCCAAAGTACGATATCCAATAGGAAAATATCTTTTCTGGAAACAAAACTGTTACCACCTAGGAACCCTATAAAGTGCAATCTCCTATTGGGTATCGGATAGGATATCGATGTGATGTGAAGCCTGTATTAATCTTATATTTATCGAGGATGTTACCTGATAGTTGGCAAATGGAAAGAAGTCTTAAAGTTTTCAGGAGCCATCACTAGAAGCGAGCAAGCAAGTAAACAGTATCGAAGACTTCGCTGAATGTTACGTGATAAACATATGTGTTAACATTGAAAAATGTAAGTTCAATCGCATATTGTTACAAAATTTCGTCCTAAACATTTTAATTACATGTCTCGTTAATTAAATATCCAATTTTATAATTGCATTTGACATCGTTGCTAAATAAGCGGCAATGTTATGTCATAATTTGCGATAGTACTTATTCGAATAATTCGTTTTACAGTAAACTCTGATAATGGGAGTCGTTTATTCAACATTGACACGACCTATCCGTACATTCAATATTGCAAATCGAGCGGAAAGAATTATTTCCCGAGAGAAGCCAGTTCGTGCTCCGCAATATGAATTTACGGAAAAACAAAAGAAACTGACGGATGAAGGTAGTATTGCATTGATACATATAACATCGATTACTTGTTTCTGTACATGTTTGCCGACAATTGTCAGCTCGGTATATGTCGTTGCACAACTATTTTATGACCTTAATTACACTTCCATAAAATGACACTAAACCGACAGACGTCAATATATGAGATAGCAGCACAGGCCATGATAGCTTTAACCATTTATATTAATATAATGTTAATATAATTATTGTTATAATTATGCATAAGTATGCGTACAGTTGAAAATTATGATTATTATGGATATGTTGCAAAAATGTACTGATCTAAAAATGTACTTACATTGTTCATCACTATAAGATGATACGACATTTTCCCCATAATCTTACAATTGTATCGAACTTGCGTAATTAAAAGTAAATTTTGCAATTTAAAAATGATATCCAAGCCATGTACTCTACTATTCTCTTTTCAAGCTGTTTCTTAATATTATATTTATATTTTAGTAAACCCAGATTTCTTAGAAAAGCATTATCAAAAGAATATGCAGTTAGACAATCGACTGAAGGATGTTTTTGTAACATCGACAGATTCTCAGGTATATACTATCCTAGATTAAATTAGATTTAGCAAACTATGATAATGTATATTGTTGTGAATTGATATAAGTTTATCTTTCTGAAACATTAGAATGTCAAAATGTTATTTTTTGTGTACACATCTATTATTCAATTTAATGTTTGCGGTATTTTTCAGATAAATTTAGAAACAACAACAGCGGAAAAGTCTTTACCTCAGAGTAGACGTAATAGAGATGAATTTAATATGGATTATCATGAATCTACAGTAATCCCTGAGGGAAAATGTACGTTGAAACAGGCTCTCACATTTATTTCTCAGCATAGAGAAGATCCTATAAAATATAATAGTGAAAACATAGCTGTTCAATATAAAATAGATAAAGGAAAAATAGGTATGTATAGCTTTACCTATTTAATAAAATTAACCTAACATTAACACATTTATCAAATCTCTACAATACTTGAATCTTTTCAGATGAAATATTGAAGCATTTCAAGAGTTATGTAAGCTTTGTACCAGACGCACCTTTAGAAAAACCTGAACAAGATCTGATTCAAAAGACTATAGACGATATGGTTATAAAACGTCAGGAAATGGAAAAATTAGAAGAGGAAAATGAAAGACGTGAAAAATATCAAAAGAAATAATATATGTGTACAAGAAAATATTGTTTATAGAAATATATGTGAAAATATTTGTAGAAAAATAATTTATTAAATTTTACTTCTACATTTCGCTTTTCAAGGTAAGTGTATAGTAGTCTGTTCCGATATTCATTGTCAGTACTGAACATCTATAATATATATAACATAAACTATAGATTTTCAGTACTGACGGTGAATTTCCGAGCACAGCCTATATCGACATTTGGAAATAGCATATATTTTACAATAAAAAAGAGGCATACTCTTTAAAATTCAATAAGTAATGTCAGCGATTTGCTTCTTGGATTAGTTGAGCATTCTCGTGAGATCTACAACTAAAAATCGATATGTCATTTTAGCATCGATAAATAATTAATATAAGATAATTCGCGCTTATACGAAAAAAATATATATATACTCTGAATATTATTTACTTTCTATGATATGAAAAGCGGCAATGATTGCGACTAAAACGTGGAATGGCCTGGAGGCGGACGGCGTCGAGTGAGAATAACTGGCAGAAGAGCCTGAGCAGCTCTGACTGTTTGAACTTGTTTCTGGAATGGTTGCAGTCTTCAGCATCATCCAGTAAAATGCTTTCATTTTCAATCTTTCCTTTAACTCTGTACCTACTTCTTCTCGTATACGTTTATTGTAATTATTTAGCCAACGTCGCTGTATGTAATATAGACATCAATATTATGAGTATCCATAATTTTAATGTAATAATATTCAATATATTCAAAATAGTCTCAGATTAAATTACAGATAAGATTTACTTGCAACGGAGTCAGCATGTCGACATCGATAAGTTTTGGTTCGTAAGGGACCAGAGTGGCGTCTCTGAATTTCAGAAATTGTTGCGTTTTATATGTCTAGAACGATTGATAATTAGTAATTAGCAACTAGTAATTAGCAATATTATAAAGTTGACGCTATTATACAATCTACAATTAAAAAATTATGTACGCACTAATTTGTCGGCGGGAACTACTTCGATTATGTTCTCTAAACGGACTCCAAAATCGCCTTCTTTGTAGTATCCCGGTTCATTAGATAGGAAGAAACCCGGTTTCAGCCTGGTGGAACATCCGGCAACTAAATTGCTCCCCCAATACGACACGCTGATAGGCGCTGCAACGCGTATTGTTCCACTAGAATGACTTTTATCGATTGCATTCCGTATTCTCGCGAAGCAAGGATTTTTATGAGAAACTGTTGATTACGAACATTCGTGAACCGAAGAGAAGTGACCGATTCCATGACCAGTTCCATGCATGTAATCGTAACCGGTGCTCCATAATGGTTCGCGTGCGACGATATCTAGCTTGTCTATCGTTAGACTGTTAGGAAAGATCAGAGACGACAATTGAATCGAACCTATCAGTACTCTCGTGTAAGCTTTCTTTTGCTCATCGGTCGGGTCTCCGAAATGAAGAGTTCTAGTCACATCGGTAGTACCATCTGCAATCAAATAATTTGGTTTCATTTCTTTTTCGTATCCTGGTAAATTAATCAGCGAAAAAAAACGAGAGAAAAAGATACTAAGTAAAAATTAAGTTTTTAAGCAAAAAATTGCGAATCTTCGAATTAGTCAAGCTTTTAACTCTCAGATTTAAATCTAATCTACTAGTAAAATTAAAGAATTCCGAGTTTTATACCTAAGTATTGCCCTCCGGAATCCACCACTAGTGTGGACGTGGTCCCGATTTGAACGTTGGTTAAATTATTCGGTTCGTAATGCGGCATAGCACCGTGCGGCCCGTATCCCACGATCGTTGGGAAAGAGATGCCTTTATTGTAGTCTTGCTCGTAACGGAATTCATTCGCCAACCTGGCTACTTGCATCTCGTCCCATCCTTCAGAATCGAATTCATACTGCTCTTCCATATAAGCCAGGAAATCGCACATCGCCACTGCGTCTTTTAGATGAGCTTTTCTCATACCTGCCACCTCAATTTTGTTCTTCTCCGTTCGTAGATCGATTATAGGTGAAGCTTTAGCTAATATTTTCTCTGGTGGAATCTAGAAGGATTCGTACACGTTAGCTGCGTTCATGTGTCTTTATTCAGTCTTTATTCCATTTTACCTTCAGTGGAGAAGTAAATGAATATCGTATCTCTTTCATTTAAAAATAAAACTTCACTTACGGAATTATACACTTCTTTAGACGCACCCAGCGTGTAGCAACAAGGCGACGGAAGCCAAACTGTATTCCAGGCTTGAGACATGGTCTTCAAATCGTGCCAAAAGGTCGTGTAATTATGCCACCTGCAACGATACTAATTAGTCACTTTACGAGTTTATTCTCGCTACGAATCGTTTTACATATTTTATCCATTCTTCGAAGGTTTGAAACTAAAATTTTCACTCCGTGATATTATTAAAAATGAGAAATTTCTATATTACGTTAATTAATTTCATTTTAAAGTAAAAACAAGCATGTGCTATCATCTATGAATCTTTCATCGAGTACTTTCACGTATTGCTGGACGAAGAGACTATCCCCCGAGGACTTTAACTCACTTGACGCAGTTCTTATGATAGCAAGAATCAGTTTTCAGGTGTATATCGACGGCTCGCAGGATCTTCTGCCGTGGTGCGTAGAGATGCACCGATCCGTGAGTGATGATAGCGTAAGACCTTAGGACGGGTGTGTGTGGCAAGTCGTATCCACGGATGTTGAAGAGCCACGATATCTCGTCCAGAGCGGTGACAACGAGTGCGTCGGCCAACGAGAGCTCCATTTCCAGTCGGATACGTCGGATCTTCTCCTGCCAGGGTTTACCGGAATACTCGTCCGCCAGCGGATACGCCGCGTACGGATTGTAATCAGGCCGGCCCACCTGCCAGATCAAGTCTACCAGGTCGTTATCGACTGCGACCAATCTTACGGGTGAATTTTCTAAACACAAACAGGATATCATTAGTCGCGTGATCAAGATCTAGTTGGATTCGCAATGACGCTCGAATCTGTTTCGAAACTTTGAAGGAGAACCGCGAAGCATACAATCAATCTCTATCTTATAATCAACGTGTTCTCTAGATGATGTACCTTTTTTTAACGAAAATCGTATCATTAGATGGAAAAATATTGCGTGTAATGTTATACAGAAGAACTCATTACCCAGATCGATCTCCCACGCTTCCCACGTGGATGCGGATATCAATTTCGGATTAGCACCGATACGCACCACTTGTGTCCGATTTCGAAATTCATGTATTAACCACTTCGTTAGCGATGGTACCTGGAATTAACAAAATGTCAAGAAGCGTAGGATAGCCCACGTGAGATCAACGTTAACCTACAAACTACATAAATTTCGAGAATTCAACAAGTTTCATAACTATCAAAATAATGACAGTAATAAGTAGTTGCGATTTCCTAAGTATCAAATAATGCTCAAACGGTCACATTGACACGTTTTTGTCCGTCTAACTAGTGTGATGTCGTATACGAATGTTTCCACTGGTGAAAATCGTACCTGACGATAAGGTTTTAATTTTTGTAATAGTATAATAAAAATGGGCCACTCAGAATGCTCCTTTCCCCGCCCCTTCACACTGAGTGCAAAAGGGTGAACGATCATTGATGACAGAGACCCACGAACAAGTCGAGGTTTCTGCCGTCCTCACGCTCAAGGAAAGGAGCTTTTGCTCCTCATCGTGGTTGAATCTACTTCCGTGTTAGGGAAGAAGTGTAAGATCAGCTACTACAGAAGTGATCCTGTGAAGCATGGTCTTAATTTTCCATTGCCAATGTACCCATATATATACTAGTCGTGACTAGATTTTAACTGCGAGAAAGTAAGTTTCGTAGGAGGCCACCTAGCGGCTTACGAGGTAATTAAATCATTGTACGAGATTAGTAGCGCTTCGTGTTGCTGAACGCAACTATTATATCTGGTGCTCGAAACAGTCGGTAACGTAGATAATGATACAGCGCTGCACACTAGCGCTACAACTTCAGTCTGATATTCACATGATCTGCCCTTTATAGATGAATTGACTGCACTAGTTTAAGAAATTTTCGCACACTGAAAATCTTGTACATACTTCGATGGCCGGTATTCATGGTCGAATCTTATATTTAAGATCGTCTTAAGTTTATCTTCGGATGCTCTACAGCTTATTTCATTGGCTACAAAGCATCCGAAAATAAACTTAATATCTTAAGGTCCATATAAGTTCGTTTTGCACGCTTCTGTATTGAAAAAGCTGTTCTGCCTTCAGCATGTAATGATAAATAAAGATAGAACGACGCTTTCAATACAAAAGCGTGCAAACGAATCTAGCTTGTAAGAGTGTTAAGCTGTGTTTTTATATTCCTATCCAGTACTGAAAATCTATCATTTATTTTACGTATATTATAGATTTTCAGTACTGGGCAATGAATGTATGAACACAGCCTTATTGTTCGAGCGTATCGATTGCATCGTTTGCATCGATCGCAATCGATCTATGAAAATCGCAATCTGATGCTGCCATATTGTTATTAGTTAGTCGTGGAGTGGGTTGTGAGCGGCAGTGTCGATTCGGTAAATCGTCTCTTTATTTCCGCGGTCCTGTGTTACAGAAATACGAATCTCGCGCACGAAATATGTCAACGAAGGAAAGTTTCGTTGACAGAAGATGGTTAAATAGCCATCGAAAGTGCTTATCCCGCTGAACGGTCGTTGAGTATATCGAGCAAAGTATCTCGCGTTATGGCGGTTCACATTGCTCTTTTTACGTTCCTAACCAGCCGAAAGAAAATCTCAATTATATTTCACGCGTTAATTACTGCCGAGAAGTCCGAAAATAAGTCGTACGTTTTGTAATAGTAGCAAGATGCTCACTAAAAAAACCGTCGAAAGTGAGTCTCGTCCAACGGTCGGTCGGAAGTATAGAGTGAAGTGTTGCACATACTGCGATACTTGAGTATATAATCGTTGCAATCTTCACTCATTAGTGAAATCACGCGATCGCGACGCTGTAGCATTCGAAGAATCGTCGTCCCGTGTTCTTCACGATTTCGGCTTATCGAAGGTGAGTCTCGTGCACGAATGTCGGCATTGGGAATGCTAAAAATAAATCTTGTCCGATTTTTCGATAACATCTCATTGGACGCTCGCTGAAAGGGAGCATTTCGCGAAATTGACGGAATTCGTTGAGAGTGCCGAATGCAGGCGTCGTTCATCATGGCGGCTCAAAATTCAAATCGACGCTCGTTATTTTTGCAATCTACCGGCAGAAAAATCTTAGGGTCAATAAATGTTAATAGATATTGCGCGAGCGTCAATTGCATGTCGAATCGTACATATTCAACTCGTAAAATGTCATTTGAGATCATTTTATGAGAGTTTAAGTATGTAATAACTCAAATAATACAGTGTCCAAAATCGAGATATAAGAAGTTTTAATGGCGTCTATAGAACATCTTTAAGACGTTGAAACGTAAGATATTGGCACACATAAGATTAAGACGTAGAAACTCAAGTATATCTTTAAGACATCTTACGTCTTGATTTTAGACATTATATTATTTGAGAAGCTAATATGCTAAATACGCAATAGAGATGCAAGATATTTTTGTCTGTGCATTGTGACAAGCGGTAATTTAGACAAGAGTTAATTGACTTACATCGTTTTGTCCTTCCTTCATTAGGATCCAGTTGCAGTCCAATTGAAGATCCGCTTCAATATGGTATCTACCATCAGTCCAAAGTACCGCCTTATTTATAGTGACAACAGTTTCTCCAGTACTTCCAGTGAATCCGGTAAGGAATTCTCTTCTCATATCATGCGGATCCACGGTCTCACTCTACATGAAAATAATTTATACGCTTTGTGAGATAGACATAAATGTTTATGCATATATTGGAAAAAATCACTAATTTCTTGATTATAATATTTAAAAAAAAACTTTCTTTTGCAAATGAACATTAAAAATCTATTAAAGCTAATGTTTCAACTTGAATCAATGTCTCCCGATTTAACACTGCTAATTCAAGGCAAGGCTTTTTATGAATGTCCTTTTAAAACCTTATATATATAGTTTTATTGTACATTTAAAAATATAATTTTTTACATCTTATTAAGTTTTACAAGATCGTTGAAATGTTCACACTGGGAAACATAGATTCAAAAGATTAAATACACTGCACTCGTAAAATCGAATAAAACTTTTTAGCAAATACGGCAATGGAGATTGCTGTCAAGCGTATCAACCAAAACTGCAATTATGCAAAATATTTTCTCTTATTAAGAGAAACTTCAAATACTATATACCACGCGAATATACCTCTAAAGGCCCAGCACGGCCATGAGAAACGAAGCTCACTGTCTGAAAATTTAAGTACAATGAGTGAGACCGATTCGTTAATACGCTAATTGTTAAGATGCGTTTGAACAGATCTCTAAATGAACAAGATATAATTAGTAATATCGGATTAACCGTGTCAATGGTGCAGAACTTACTTGATGCTCGTCGTCCGATGTGACAATGTAACCATCGAGGGCTGGTCCTTGAACTGCTGCCACGCGAACCATTTCGGATCTTAGTTGTCTCAATTGTAAAGAACTGTCGTGCCGATTTACCGGTTGATTTCCGATGTAAGCATTTGTTGGACAATATGATCTTTTGGCTCCATTGTAATTTAACTGTGGTTCCGACAATTTGTTGGCATCATTGGCTCTCGTTAATTCTGTTGAATATTTTTTCCTTATTTTATTTATCGTAAATGTATTATAAAATTTTTATTACGATAGTAAGAATATATACCAAAAATAAATTTTAGAGGCAATTTTTGTTATTAATTAAAAATCAAGCATTAAGATATAAATATAATTAAAGGAAGCTTTCGTGAAATTGAGTTATGAAACAAAGTATAATTATGGTGACAAATTAAGAAAAGATGAAGAGAAACATAACATGTGCATAAACTTTGAGAACTTGAACTACATGTATAAGATGCTGTGTATATATATGGTAAGTCAAGTGTGAGTGACACAAAACAGTATCTAATAGTTAGATTCTGATAAATTCAGGATTCAATTTCATTATCTTAACATCAGATATGTAAAATACAAAAGATAAAAAGAAGGATAAACTGGAGGCGCCGGGTATCGATCCCGGTACCTCTCGCATGCTAAGCGAGCGCTCTACCATTTGAGCTACGCCCCCTGATAAGAAGCGTTCTTGTGCTCAACATATTAAAATCGCTTTTATATATATATATATATATATATATATATAGGTTATAATATATATATATATATATATATATAGGTTATAATATGTAAAATAATTTTATCCGCATTATCTTCATACAACTTATTTGCAAATATTATAATTCCTGTAATATATGTGAAAATTTTGCATATACAGATAATAGTATTAACAACTTAAAAGACACAAAAGATGACCTTAACAATTTTAAAATTATATAAATTACATTCAAATTTTTAATTAATTAAACAATAGGTATGAAAAATATTACACACTTTTCAAGTGTTGATGCAGAAATAATTTCTGATGCATGTGACATTCTCTCTAATCATAAGTTAGATTTAGCAGCGAAATTATTTCATGTTGCAAAAAATTGCAAATTTATAATTTACTAGAGATGACAAGCAATCGTTAAAAATTCTATTTGTGAAATTAAAGGGTTTTCAATAAATTTCTCTATGAGAATTTTACAGCTTTACGAGTCTCTAGAGCCTCTAGAGCATTTAGAGCTCTATTGTGTTCTATATATAATAATCAGCGAGCAATGCAACGTTATCCGAGCGACTTTTGACCGGAACTAGTTTGACTCCGTTATATATATACGTCCCATGGGAATCCAGAGGGTGTGCTAAGTGGTGCTCGCGTACTAGGAAAGCATATCGAGCTCGGAGCACGATCGGCCCGAAATGCGCGTTTTGATCGTCGCGTGTATTGAACCTTCGCTGGCATCTCACCAATAATATACGTTAGATCGACCTTTAGCTTAACGTGTCTCGCGCCTTCTTCTTTCTTTTCAATTCGATTTCTTCGCCCGAATCGGATTTTTCTGCGACGTCGCACACATAGATGTGTGCGGCATGTCGTCGGCGAGCGGGAAGAGATCGATTTCACGGATATTTGGGAAACGGATCGAATATAATTCGGATGAGATCATGCGCGCACGCGCTCGAATGTTTATCATTAATGCCCCGTAACTGTGTCAACGTATTGTTTATTTAATTTAATAATTTAACGTAAACATATATTATCAAGTAATATTAAATATATTACTAGGGAAGTAGGAGCGTGCAGTAGGAAAGTTTTACTCCGATGTAACCTTACAATTTTCAGGCTTGGTAATTTTCTCTGTAATTTTCCCGCGTTGTGAAGCTCACGTCCTGCAACCCTTTTTTCTCCCTGAAGTATTTATGGATTTTTCCTTACCCCTTGTTTAATGTGGTTGACAAAGACATTTTATTGAGGAAAAGTAATTTTAATGTGTTGTTATGGAAGTGATAAGAGGAGCGTGCATCTCGACCAAAAATAATTGTAAACATAGCATTCATCTTACGATAAACGACTGAAATAGGAAAAAGTAAAAAGTATCGTCATAAGACGAAACATCTGATTTAAAAAAATGTATTGTATTGTTTCTTATTGAACGAAAGAAAACGAATGGTTTGAATAAAAATTGATTTAACGCGCTTTTTACAACGAGATAATTTATGCTAGTCAACTTGACATTAATATCGAATGGCAAGCTGTCTCGTTTCATAAATAATTACATGTTTCATAACTACGTCGATTAATCATATGATATATTTATAGTCGATTAAATAAAATAACGTCTCACATGAAAGAAAAAAAAAACGCAATAACATATGACACACGTTTATATCGCGTTATATCGCGTTAACGTAAAAATGTCATGCAATAAATATTATATCTCACAATTAGCTGAATTTGCAGTCGCGCGTGCAAATGTGTAATATAATAATCTTGCAGATATTTGTTTTTCCCTTTGTTAATTATTATGTACATTTTCCGCGCATTAAAACAGTTTCTCGCAAATAAATAACAAATAATAAATCTTATAAATATAAAATGATTGCATTATGCTGATATTTTAGAGAATATGCGCAGCTTTATAATTTAAAAGATAAAAATAAACGCGAGGGCGTTCGGTATCGCCGGTCGTTTGTTTTTCCACTTCCACATAACGAAATGAATTCGTAAAGGGCACTCGTAACGCCGTTATGTCGATAACCGATATGTCGTTACCTCCGCAGGGCCCTCGTTCTTTGATGCTTCGAATTCAGTTTCGAGGGCGCTCTTCTTGTCTCGCCTTTGCTCTCGGCCATTGGTTCGCCACTCGCTCTACCGTCCTCCAAATGCCAGGATACCATGAATCCTCGGTTGCTCTCGGATGTGGAGCAGAGCGGCCGCCCAAGGATCGACAGCGAGGCCAGCGAGACCATATCGAGGTGGCGCGTGAAGGCGAATTTTCACGGGTTAAATAACGGAGGGTGTGAATTTGACAAGGCCGAAGCTATTCGCTTTCTTAGTTCGTACCACGTTGCCGCTGTCGGTCTACCATTTGTTCACCACTCACTTTCAGGCTTCGAACCGACTCGGCTAGCAGCACCGATGAAGAGCTAACCGAACCTCATGGCCGGTGAGGAAGGAATAGTGGCGCGTAGTGGCTGTGATAAGAATATTTCCAACACTCATCGTTATACACCGATTCCTAACGTCTGACGCGTACGTGTGTCACGTGTGACGCGCGTAAAATAAACTGCGTTAGCAAAGAGACAAATTTGTCTAATAAAATCATGATTATACGAGTGAAACGGCGAGGGGATCCTTTAGCGACGAATTTAATGAGTAGTATGACGTACATTCATTCCACGGAATTGTGATTGGCTGAGCACTGAGCTCACGTCATCGAGTATTGACGTATCTGTGAATTATCTAACGTTTACTGCTCAGCGATGATTATAGAGGATGTCTGTAGAAATGCAAATTGAATCTCGACGAGGAAATAATTATCGATGATTTGCAGTATTTCACAGACGATTATTTTTTGCTCATTTCGGCTCTCGGTTAATATCTCATTGTGTGGTGCGGTGCGTGCAGTGTCGTGGATGATGCGCAGGAGTAGAGAGATGATCGAGATGCTGCGAAACTGAACTGTTTCTCGAGATGATCTTTAGCATCTAGCGAACAGGCTCGCATAATCTGCAGAAACTCCGCCGTGATTTCACCTCGCGCCTGTTGGACCAGTTCGTTGCTCGAATTCGTGGCTAGATTTCTTCCCTTCTCTTTCTCTCCCTCTCGTCATTATCTTCCTCTTTTGCTCCCCTAACTTTGATTCGAATAAGATCTATATGAGAAACGGATTTCGCGATTTTGTAAGATCTTCGTGACCGATAAGGGTTTGTTCGATAAGGAAACAGTCTTCGCAATCAATAAGAAAGGTGTCTTATGCTCCATACTCGCGCGTAGAAGGGGAACAAAGGGATCATTAGATATTTTTGTTTCCACGGCAACGTCATCGTTGATGTCATTGAGTTCGTTCGCAACTCATTTTGGCGCTACTATTGTACTAGGCTCACACATGAACGAAGAAGTATGTCAATGATGATGATGGTAGAGGATATATGTATACATGATTCCTACATGACTTCTAGATCTCTCGTTTTAACATGAAGCTTGCGGAGCGACAAAAAAATATCACGTGGTTTTGTAACTACAAGTGTGTTAGCGTTACATCCACAGCAGCGGTGGTACACGTGATGGTTCATATTTCTATTATATGTTATATAAAATGTTGCTGACGTACAACGTACACACGCACACGCACACACAGTTCTAAATTTTATTCAAATAATTGCGTATTATAAAAACATAAATGAAAGTTTAATTATATACGATTACACTAAATGTAATGGCGTAAATATGGAAGAGCGTTTTCGTTTATAATGACTAATTTTAAATTCACGTCATGCTGTTCGTTAAATGCAGCAAAAATACGGGGTAATATCCGGGTATTTTCGCGTGAATGCTTAAATCATCTCTGATTTAACGCATTTCATTACTCTTTTTACTGGAAAATTTGGTTAATGCGGCGGCGGAAAATTTACTAGAACCACTGATTTGTATTCATGTGATTAATTACTGATTAAAAAAGAAAAAAGCGGTAACAATTTTTCGCAAAGTGAGAGAGGAATTTATTTGCTTATCTATCTTACAAAGAGCTCACTAACGTATGATGAACCTGTAATTCCATGCGAATCAGCTACGTGACGTCTCGAGATGACCTTCAGTATCTGTCGATCAGGATAGCATAAGCTGCTAGGAGCAAGACGATATTTGCATCTCCAGCGGCCGAGCTATTTTAATTCCTCACTTGTTCATCTACTTTCTCCGTGCGCGTTGCCTTTGGCGCATCTTACGTTTCGCGAAATCTCTCGGCGCCACGTCGGATTCCTTCATACAATTCGTTAGTCGCAAGACGCTCCCGTCCTGTCACCGACAACGCATGTCGTTCATTGATTCGTCAAATTTATGAGGCTCGTCGCCGAGGAACGAAGCGAGGAATGCCGGACCAGCGATTCATGCGATCGAGAAAGTATCGGCGCACTTGAAAAAGTCGATAAAGCCGAAAAGCCTGTTAGATTGTCAAACGTCCCCTTTGCTTAACTATCAGGGGTTCAT